GTTGGAAAGAGCATTTTTCATACTACCCAAAATGATTGCGACTCAATTTCACATTACCCATATCGGAGAATATTTTTCATTTGGCGGCGCCGTTTGTTTATTTCGTCGCGACGTCTCCGGTCGCGTGGTTGTCGTCGTCCTTGTGTTGAAGGTAAGTTTTCATCGTTTTAGTTATACTTAGATGTTAAAAGGTACTTTCAAAAGTTTGAATATGCTGTGATTTTAAACTTGGAAACACGTAAACGTCAATCAATTCACGTTTTCCTCGATTTACGTGCAGATAAGTAACTGTCGACGAAAGTGGCGCCATCCGATATGATGTTTTGAAGGAAGGAGACACACCATATTTACGTGATTTTTTTGTTTTTTAGTGGTCTAAGTGCTTCAAAGAGGCTGTGGATGTTTTCTTCACACATTTTTACATTAGGTTTGATGAGGTAAAAGGTAGTTTCAGTCTTAACTTTCATATAATTGACATTAAAACATATGATTGTCCACTGTTATCAGTGATTGAGTACCTTGATATTTGGCATTTCTTATTAATCTGAATGTATTCTCTATCCATATGTCCTGATAGTAAGTGACAATACTCTGCCAATATGTTTCCACAGTTTTCACATTCATTTTCCAGTCCTTTACATAACATCACAATTTATAATCAACAAAACTCAACTCCTTCGTTACTTCACAACACTGACAGCATGACAGACTGACAGTCAACTATTGTGTGTGTGAATGCTGAAACAGGATAGCCACTTTGCTGACTGGCTCATATGAAATAAGATAAAAATGATCCTTTATATCATTTCCATCTGGAGGATCGGAGTCAACGGAAAAGGAAGGCCACTTTCAAGCCTCAAGGTCTAGGCCGCCAGACGCCAGTCGGCAGTCACCACCAAATTTATAATAGATTAATTCATCATTATACTTTGAGACCCTTAGGTCACTGAATCGGCATCACATTTTCAGTTTCAATATAGTAAAGGTTTTTATTTGTATGATGTGAAATATTTTCCCGAATCAGAATTTAATTATCCCTAGGTACCTGGTAGATGTTTCGGATTTAATGCTCATTGTTGGTGTGCAGTCAGGATTTTTTTGACAGGTCCAGATAGGGAATCCTGAGCAATTTTATAGTAAAGTGGTCTCCTTATAATCACCACACATTTTATCAAAATCATTTGCAGAATTCATTCAATGAAGAATTTTATCAATGTTGCACCCATTTCTTAGACGACCTAGGCTGCATCTTTTTTAGTTCCTGTTGTATGGCATATTTTCCATTTTGTTCCACTGCATAAAGAAAAAAAATCGTTTGAGATCACCAAACAGCTTTTCTTTTTCTGGCAGGTCTGCACAACCAAGCGGTCGCTGGCGAGGACGTCGGCCGTCCCTGTGGGTAAGGTCATCTGCTCAGCCTTTGTGGAGATCAGCAAGACGTCACCAAGATGAAGACTTCGCTGGAGCAGAAGCTGCTGACCCGTGTCCGATCGGGCAGGTCATGCTCGACGGCACGAGCCACAACTTGAACGACTCGGTGACATCAACAACATGGTGGAGCAGGTGAATGAGTTTGGCAACGTGTTGTGCGACTGCAAGAAGGGTTGTCTGCGTGTTCTGGCCGGCGGAGCGGCGACGCTGCGCAGTCTGTGCTGGCGGTGAGCAGCTGGCCGTGGTGACCGCGCGCGCCCACATGCGCCGACAACCTGTGCGGCTTCGACGGCCCCGGGACAGCCCGATGCCGCCCACTATGCGACGCCGACCGCGCACTGTCTGCACGGCCACATGGAGGTGTGCCCGCGCCTTTTGCCCGCACGCCGCTACCTCGCAGCTGGTCTGCAACCACGCCGTCGCCGCCTGTAGCCCGATAACAAAACGGCTGTCTGATAATGCCGCGTGTTCTTTGTGATGTGATAGGGTTGCTACTGCTGGTCTGAGACTCGATGTTTCCATTCGTCCTTTACATGTTAAGGATTTGATAATGATTAGCTTAGTCCGAGCTTAGGTCGTTTATATCATTTGTTATATGGCATATTTTGGATCAAAGCAGTACGACACTGCCTCCTGCTTTTGTGATGTATGCTGGCAAGACGCAGGTTCCGGTCGCAGGTCACCCGGTTCCAATGTGGTCGGGGTGGCATGCGATAATGTGATGTTGTTTTGCTCGTCTCTGTGTTCCACACTTGATGATGTTTATGAATCTAACCCACATTGTATAGTATTTTTGTTTGTTTGCAGCCGATGGCCTTGTAAGTTGTAACCGTGGCAATACAGTTTTTCCTGCTATAATTCTCCAATATTCAAGCGTGGGTGGATATCTTTCTGTATTCACGTATTCCCTTCTCCCAGTACAGTCACAGAATATCAATACAGTATTCATTTCAAGCCCTGTATAATTATTTGAGGTGTGCCGAATCCGAAAGGCGACCGGAAAAACTACTAGCGGAAAATGTGACATGATGCCATGGGTTTGTGAAAAGTTTGGGTACCACGTAGCATTCAACTTCCTGCATTTCTGTTTCAACTCAGTTTAACGTATTTCAACGAACATAACATCAAGAATGGCAGCCAGTACCGGCTTCACTTGTCACGGAGAACGCTCAAAAAATTGAGTGTAGATGCTGGCCGGCACTCAATTTTTTGAGCGCCAGCTGACTGTCGTCTGTCGTGGCGCTCAATTTATTGAGTATCGCGGTCCCGAGCGACAAGTGGCGCTCAAAAAGTTGAGCGTCTTTAGGGCTTTTTCTTTCCAAAAACACCGATATAAATTATCACGGCGAGTGTTCGAGAAGAAGCCTTGTTGCTCCCTCTTGCCATTGATACCTTATTTTGATACGATAGTTGCCGTAGTGTGACGCTAAAGGCATTGTAAAATACCATCGTTTCGCCTATTCCTTCATAATGGGGCCCGCTCAATTTTTTGAGCGCTCAATTTTTTGAGCTTTTCCCCCTTGTGCGTGGGACTGAGATAGCCTCAGGTGTCTAAGGTGGGGGTAGGTCAGATTACCAAACCCTTGTCATCGCACACAAGGCCATACAGCGCCGAGAACCAGAGGAACTGGCAGCCCTGTTCGTCACTAGCAAGGCCCTATATACCAGGTAGGGTCGTCCGGCGATTCTACCTGATCGTGACGTCAGCTCGTGACGTCATCTGGGGGCAAGTCTTGAAGTCCCGTTTAAGTCCTATGCAAATGGGCGATTTTCGAAGCGCTGTAGAACAAACTCTGCTAAAGCTAGCAAAAAACTAAGTGCATCATCGGAAAGCCGAGACATTTTTCTTCGAATTATCTAAGAAGCGTTTTTCACGAAACCCATTAGTTTTTCCAAAAATGCGTAAAAAAGCCCCCATGCCTCCGCAGCCTCCCTTCCGCCGGCCGCCACGCCGCCGCGGTAGTGTAGTGGTTAGGATGCTTGCGCCGTAATCCAAAGATCGTGCGTTCGAATCTAGGCGCGGGTCGTACTTAAATCGAAACTGCAAGCAGAATATGTGTTTTTTCTTGATAAATCACTTATATTACAGCTAACCGTTCATAAAACTATCGATAACAATTGACTGAAACCCAAAATATAGAATACATTCTAATAAAACAAATTCAAAAATGGCGGCCGTTGCGCCAGGCTCCGCCCCCGACTCCGCCCCTTCGTGTGACGTCATCTGTGCACTTGGACACACAGGGAGATAGGGGACGACATGGGCCTGGTCACTAGCAGCGCTATCCGCGAGAGACAATCTAGGCGAGACCACCTCCCAATCCACATTTTGAATGTGGATTGCTCTAAGCTCTTAAATGTATAATACGATACAATGTAACACATGCCTTTGATTGGTAGGTAATAGATATGCTTAACCTATGCATGATAATTCCCAAGTTACCCAGGATTGCCCGATCCATCAGATAGCAGGAGCCAGGCCTGGGCAAAAAAACTTTGCTTAGCAGGAGTCACAATAGACGCGTTTACATAGGGTTTGTTGCAAGCTTATATCTCCGTCCGTGATGTTGCAAAATATGCCAATGGTGCTGAACAATTTACAAAATGATCCCCTCTAAATATTTAAAGACCACTGCATCGAAATTATCGCCAAATTAACGAGCTAGAGCCTCGTCAAATATGCTATGTAAACCGGGTTAATTCTGTCAATACATCTAACAAAACATTTCAGTTAGGTAATATACTAAGACATTGTTAAATTGTTTTGTGGGAACAAATATTGCTAATGCATATCAATGCCCAGAAGCAGATCCAGCTCAGAGTTTTTTTGGGGGGGGGCAAACCATAACAATTTATTGATGCTTTCCATGCCTCATCCATAGGCGTTATGTTAAAATTATGCCATTTGGGAGGGGCCAATGTTCATTTTGCCCCCCCCCCCTGGATCCACCACTGAATGTAATATTGCGAAAAAATATCCTTGAAATCTTCTGAAGACTTTATCTTGACATTTACCAACCAATAATTGTTTGACAGAAAAATGTCATACCTATACAGATTTGTCCTGGAATCTCGGTAGAACTGTTAAATGTCAAGTAAATACCTAACCGAGCTAGGTATTGCACTCAGTGTGGCCAAATTGGTGATGTTGCGGGGAAAGTCACCCCCAATGAAAAGTATAATGACATCCTCAGAAATTTTAAAATTACATCATCACAACGTTTTTGTTGTGAAAGCATACCTAGTATAGGAATAAAGACTACAAATATTCCAATGTATGATTCGCACCGTCATACTCGTACTGTCGCGCTTGCTATGTTTTTTTTTTACATCTTTGATGACAATGTTTGATTTTTTTCACTTTCCACCAGAGCTTGTCGTCAGGTATAGTTTTTCCACATAACTTGTAAAAACTGCACCTAAAATGACACTGCAGACGAGTTTTTTTTTTTAATAGTGACATCCTCATACGACTTTTTTTACATCCTCCCCCTAACGCTAAACCAATTTGGCCGCACTGATTGCACTTGGGAGCAACTAAAACCATTTTGATTTCCTAAAACACTTACCTGTAGTAGACATCTTTTTGCGCGTTCACTCAAGGGCCTGTTGCAAATACAATGACCTGCTTTACAACCCCTCTGTAACTCTTTTTAGACAAGTTCACCGAATTCCAATGAGAAAACACCGGCTACCGATATCAATATGTGCGTTTATGTCAGTTCACGCAAGAGCGCAAGCTCCTCTGTGTTGACGTGTGACTCGCGCGGCCACTCTTGCGGCTCTCTTTTTTTTTTTTTTTTTAGTGGCCCTAACTTCACTTAATATACCCTGGCCCTAACTACTGCGCCACAAGTCTGTTCAGGAAAATTGTGTTCCATAGCAGGACCCACATCATGAACTTCAGATGAAACATCGGTTGCATAGCAACTTGGGATGGAAATGGCAGCTTTTCGATCATTTTAGAGTTCAGTCAGTGTTTTCAATATACTCTGGTTTTGCGCTAGAAAAAGAAAGGTGTTATGCAACTTGCAATTGGTTATGTACGCAATGTTTTCGAGCATGCTTAACTGCAGACTAGGCACGGTCATAGATACAGACTAGGCTGATTCGCAAGGCATTTTTCATTTTGTAGTCGCGACTTAACGACCTTTGATGTTCTGCTGTAAGTCAATCTGGCGCAGTAAATTTCGATGTCGCTTGCCAAGCTTTTATTATTTGTATAGATGATAAGATAGATAATGACGTAGAGAAACGCTCTCATAATTCCAAACAAAATTCATTGAAATTTTATAGTTTATGAGTGAAGTAACGTAAAACTTATTGACATTTCTATTCACAGAATCAAGTTATTCAAAACAAGAAAGATTAATGATTTGTGATTGCAAAACTTTCAAAAAAGCTTTGGTCTTGTTTTTAAAAGTAAAAGTCTAATGACGTCGGTCAGATGAACTTTCTGCCTGATGCGCTCAAATTGAAATAATATGTAATACACAGGCAATAGGCATACACACACAGGCGATTTATATGTTTAGATGCAAGGCCCTATATAGAAGGTATGCTCATTAGGCCGAAGCAGCGATTTCCGTGACGTCACAGGTACGAAGGGTCGGACGGCTGTAATGCAATCCTATGGAAAATGACCCAACTTTAGGGCTCTCCCACATAGCTGCCAACCTCGACACCAAGGTAAAAGTTATATCACATAAAAGCTCAAATCAAGACGAACAAGAAACCTATCTGACGTTTTTACGTATTACTAACGGCTTAGACTCTATTCAAGTATATTCAGAGCTCTGCATTACCTCACTTTTTCTGCCGTCAATGCCACTACAAATGTCTAGTCGGCGCACGTGCGCTTGTCGAGCGGGGACCACCAGTCGGGCGATTCAGAGCTGCCGCCCAATCAGAACGCCGCAATGCCGTGACGTCATTGGTCGCACACGACACGTTACGGAGATAGGGATGAGACAGCCCTGGTTTAGATGCAAGTCTCTGAAGTTTTTTATTTTATAAAGGATTTTAATTAATGGTTAATTCAGATACGAGGTACCCTAGTTGAAATTTGAAATAGTTGGGTGATTTAAGAGGCCAGGCTAATATTGTATATTTAAAGTGGTGCTGCTCTTTGCTCACTTACCGTAAACCGGGGTGACTTTGTATCACTTTTGACCAGTTAGGTACAATATTTTGTATATCACTTGAGATTTCACTCTGGAAACTGTTTCATCATACCAATTGGACAATTCTCTATCTAACTGAGTACAATAAATGTCTTGAAATTTATCATAAATATTTTAATTTTTTACCAAAAAACTGATCATTCTCACCCAGAGGTCGGGGTGACTATGATCACTACATTAAAATCACCTTATGTGTGCCTTAGGAGCCCTCAGAAGGGGCTTGTGTGATAAACTTACATGTTTTGAATAAAATCAAAGGGTTTGCTTGACAAAAACTCACACATTTTACAGTAAAACTATGAATCATTGAGGTATTAAAATGAAGTTGCATGCTCCGGGTCTAAACTCACATTACAGAGCTATAAGCAGCAAAATTAGCTACTTTAGCCTCTGACTTCAAGATTAAGTAACAGTCACAGATGTCCGAAGCCACAGGCTACCTGTTCTACATCACACTTTGTCTGCTGGTGGCTGTGGGACCACTTGCCACACTGCTCATGCCCCTCCCAGTTGATTGTCTTTTTCACTTCCCATTGACGCTCCAATTACCACTGAGATAGAGCAGCTCAATGCTCATCCTCCATCATCAGTATCTAAGCCTTTCCTTTCCCAGGTGAAAAAATCTTACAAGATCTTACAAGAATCTTCTCGATCTTGCAAGATCTTATATGATTCTGAGGACAGTCTTGCAAGACCTAGGGAATCTTGTACAAGACCGTCCCAATCTTGCAAGAGTCTTGTAAGAATGCGGTGGTTTCCTTGCAAGAATCTTTCTTGCAAGATTCTGGCAAGTCTGTTGGTTACTTGTAATGTTTTTTAACAGCTCTCTGATCAGTCATGACCATTAATAAGCCTCATACTGAAGTATGAGGAGTACCTTGGGAGAAATGCCTCGCCCCGGTGCGTTGATAAGTTGGACTGGACATTTGTTCTCAATCTGCAACCTACCGGGATTTATTCACCTAGTCCTCAGGACGTCACATGTCATTATTAGAACTGGCGGGACATCAACATTCGAATGTTGTTGTCAACATTGTCCCGATATATAGGGAATTACGAATTGTGAATTGATCCCTATAAAACAATCGATTCACTTCATAACTCCCAAATCCCTTCGTAACATTCTCAGCTTAATTTGACGCATTACTGTACTGTATTATTCGGGGACTTGTGCATTTGTGCGCAGTGGTGATCTTTTAGAGACTGTACCGACTGGAATTTAGCGACCACTGTCCGTTTTAGAGACCGTACGGTCGGCGGCGGGCGTCCCCTTCCGATCCTCGCCTGGGGCGGAGGCCGGAGACGCCGGAGAGGGGAGCGCGCGTCGCGCGCGCCCCCCTCCGCCGCATTCCATCCGTCCCATTCACTGCCCGCTCGCGATGTGCGGACGGCCGACGGGGGTGTCGAGTGTGTGCCGTGCGGTGTTCGTGTCGTCTGCCGTCTCCTCTTCTGACCTGAAGGTAAGGTTCTGCCATGTTGTATTGCTGTGTAACAAAAATAAAATTGTTCTCAATATTTGCAGCATTACAGAAAAAAACAGCGCCGAAACGTTCCCTCAAAAATGGCTGATCGCCTGTCATTCTTTTGCATGCCACAAAGGGAATAGTGCTGACGGTAACAACTGGGCCCAGGGATGGTAGATACGTGAGGATGATAGCTATGATATGCTGAATTATCTTTAATCGAAAATGAGCCCCATCAATTATAGTTTTTGACTGATAGGTACTGGCTCACCTTTTCACATCTGGCTTTGGATATTACCTGATTATATAAATGACATTTCATTTCAGCATTCGAGAATCTCGGCTCACCAATAATATGCGATGCAAGGCTCGACGGGCGACATCCTCGCTCAAGATGTGTACGAGTATAGCTGGATGCAGACGGAACGGCGGCCTCGACAATGGTGACATGACGTGACGTCAACGGTGTGATGATGTGATGTGACTGTGACGTGTGGATGACTCGAAAAGTAAAGGGCTGTTGATGTGCTCTCAGCTATACATTTTTTATGCAAATACATATTGATTTTGACGTTTACACTGGCATATTATCCATTTCACTTTGTGGATTTCGTACACATGGGTCTCGACATTAATACAATCGAAACAGTATCTTAGGGCAGCGATGTGTCTGGAAGTCTTGCACAAGGCTTGCAAGTCTTCGATAAGACTTCCAAGTCTTGCTGAAGATTTGTCAGAGTCTTAGCAAGCCTTGTAGAAGGTTTGCCAGAGTCTGGTACAAAACTTGTTGAAGTCTTGTACAATACTCTTGCAACAGTCTGGTAAGACTCTAGCAAAAGCTTTGTACAAGACATGCAAGAGTCTTGTACAAGACTCCTGCAAGATTCTTATACAGTACAGGTAAGAGTCTTACAAGACTCTTGCAAGAGCTTTGTGCAAGACATGCAAGAATCTTGTACCAGACCAGCAAGATTCTTTATAAGAATCTTGCATAAGATGTGCAAGATTCTTGTAAAAGAGTTGCAAGAATCTTGCACCAGACTTCCAAGATTCTTGCACAAGATTTATAAGAATCTTGTATAAGATGTGCAAGATTCTTGTAAAAGATTTGCAAGAATCTTGCACCAGACTTGCAAGATTCTTGCACAAGATTTTATAAGGATCTTGTATAAGATGTGCAAGATTCTTGTAAAAGATTTACAAGAATCTTGTACCAGACCTGCAAGATTCTTGCACAAGATTTATAAGAATCTTGTATAAGATGTGCAAGATTCTTGTAAAAGATTTACAAGAATCTTGTACAAGACATGCAAGATTCATACACAATATCTTACAAGAAAGTGGGCCAATTTCTTGCAAGATTGTCTTGCATAATAATACATGACAATCTTGTAAGATTTTTTCACCTGGGTTCTCTTTCTTTATCTGGGTCTTTCTCATCTTTACCATTATTTTTGCTGGAGATGCTAGCGAATTTATACTTCATGCTAATGACAACAAAAAAACAAGCTGTGACATGAACATGATTATTCTAACTGGGACCCAAAGTGTCTGCTATAATGCTTCATTGCTTTATTTAACCATTGGCATAGAAAATACAGTTCACAGCAGCTAAATGCTCATTTGAGGCCCGAAATTGGTCTATGATCAAAGTCACCCCGGGTATCATTGTCACCCCGGTTTACGGTACCTACCTATAGGTTCGGGCTAATCCAATTCAAAATGATTAAATTAATACCTTGCTTATGGGCAACTTCAAAAAGATATTAATATTTATATACACTGGATATTAATAGAAATTAGGTACTTATTGTAGCTAAGCACGAATGTCACCATTATATTTTGTACTGTCAATGTTGATGAACTTAGCAGTTAGCAGATCTTATACGTTGTGCTCAGTTTTGTGGAAACTTAAAATGCTGCATTTTTTATTGTGTTCAAGTTGGACACATTAACATTAGTGTTTCAGTAACAATGAGTGATGAAAAATACTCAAGTTATTACAATGCTGCTTTGAATTCATCTTCACATTTACCCAACACTGCACAATTTGATCACAGATCAGCTGTCTCATGAATTGTAAGACTTAAATACGGCCTGCAGTGGTCTATGGGTTTAAA